AAGCCCCTCTTAGATGAAAAAAACTAATGTTCAGCTCAGACTAGATAGCAGGTAAGGAAATAGGTGAATGCAGTGGAAAATATTAGAATTTCATATTATTAGAATGGTATGAATGTTGTGTTTTAATGATGTATTGTTCTATATGTTAAAAGTTTGTTTCCCCCCCCCCCTTTTTAAGTTGTAACCCGCCCTGAGTCCCCCCAGGGAAAAGGGCGGCATATAAATAAACTTAAATACAAATACAAATGCAAACATCCCTGCATTTACTTATAACCCATTCTAATAATATGAAATTCTAATATTTTCCACTGCATTCACCTATTTCCTTACCTGCTATCTAGTCTGAGCTGAACATTAGTTTTTTTCATCTAAGAGGGGCTTTCAAATGCTTCTTCTACATTTCTTAGGAATATAATATGCTTTTATTAGTTACTCTTTAGAGCAGTTTTTTTCAAACTTGGCAACAGTTGGAGAACTCTGGGAGAATTCTTCAAAGTTGCTAAGTTTGAAAAACACTGCTTTAGAGTAACAAACCATAGTTACCCTGTCGTCAGTGTGCCCTTGGCCCCCTCTCCAAAGTTCTGAATGATTATATTCCCCAATTTCATGTACTTTTTAAACAGCATATAGGAAAACACAGCACTGTGAACATCAATGACCAACAACTGAGCTGTCAAACAAGATGAGTCCATATTCTGAGTGCCAATAGGAAGAACCAGTTAAACTGACAAGTACTTATTGTTTCTAAAGCCTAAGCTCTCCAGGACAATGTTCTATGCAGTGTTTCTCAATCTTAACAATGTTAACATCTGTAAACTTCAACACCCAGAATTCCTAGAATTTTGTGGACTTCAACTTCAAGAATTGCAAAAGTTGAGAAACGTTGCTCTAGACCAGGGGTGTCAAATTCAAGTCCGTGAGTCGGATCCAGCTCATGGGACCACCTGGAAACAGCAAAGGGCTGTCCAGTGCCTCTGCCAGCAAAAACAGAACATGTGAGGGCCACAGTTGGCCCTCCCAAGCTCTGTTTCTGCTGGCAGAGGGTTGCAGAGGGTCGCAGCCGAAAACAGAGTTTGTGAGGGCCACGGTCAGCCCTCGTGAGCTCGGTATTTGCTGGCAGAGCCCTGATGGGCCACAGGTTTGCCATCAGGAGGCTGTTACAGCAGAAAAGGGAGCTCCAGAGCCTGTTTTTGCCGGCAGGACATTCAGGCCAATGCAGACGCCCCAACACAAGTGACATCAAGCTGGCTACACACACACACCCAAGCTAAATACAACCCTGATGCGGTCCTCAATGAAATAGAGTTTGATATCCCTGCTCTAGACTCTAGTCCAGTGATGGTTAACCTTTTTCCCATCATGTGCCAAAAGTGGGGGGAGCGCAGGGGGGTTGTGCATGGGCATGCCCACGCCCATCCATACCCATAATTCTATGCGTGCACCCCTGCACACATGTGTGCACAACCCCTTCATTCCCCCCCGCTTTTGGCACGCGATGAACCCATTTTTCGCCCTCCCTAGGCTCCAGAGGCTTTCTAGGAGCCTGGGGAGGACAAAAACAGCCTCCTCCTCCCCCCTCCATAGGGCCTCCGGAGGCTTCTTTGGAAATTCGGGAATAGGCTTCCAGTTTGCCAGTAGGGCCGTTTTTCGCCCTCCAGAGAGACAAATATGGCCCAATGTTCAAATCAGAAGTCCGTTCCCGAACTTCCGGTTTGTGCATTGGCTGGTTTTTTGCCCTTCGGAGGGCAAAAAACAGCTGAAAATGAAGCCAAAGTCAGATAGCCAGCGCGCGCATGCGCACTGAAAGAGCAGTGCCTCACGTGCCCTAACAAATGACTCTGCATGCCACAGGTTGGCCATCAGGGCTCTAGTCAAAAGATTCTGAAAGCTGCTAAAATCCAGGAATATAAGAATGTCAGTTCTTATACTCAGTGCCTCATAATGCTCAGAATTCCCTTTGTATCTTTATAATTCACATAATTTTGTAAAACTAGACTGACAGGTTCACCTCCACCTTGATATGATGTCTTTTTTTTTTTAATTGAGTCATTAAGATGACTCAATTATTAAGATGACTCAATTGAGTCATTAAGATGACCAGCAGATTTGCAGCAACAAATACTGGACAGGGAAAAGAAGGAAAATTGATGAAAGCAAGACTGCATTGTATCTGAGTCTCAATGCATTTTGAGGAGCTACCTCTTGGTCAGCGGGTTGAAAAAAATAACGACATGCTCATTACACCGTAACTTACAAGCCTGAGTATAACACACACTACATGAAAAAATGGACGTATGTATAAAACGTATGTACAAAGCAACTGCAAAGACACAGGCTCTATAAAAAGATGGGGTAGCAACACCTACAATGCTCGAACAACTGAGCAGCTCTGAATATTTCCTTGCCAAAACAATGATAATAGTAATATATGGAGCGCGAGAAGCAAGCTCCAGCCTCATCCATCAGAAAGACGCTTTCAGACGCAAAATAAAATGCAAGCGGTGAAGCGAGTCGCCTTGTTAGCGGAGCCGATTAGGCATTTTCTCCCTCAAAACGGCGGCTGCCCTGACCACCCCGCGAGTAGCCTCTCCGCAGAGTGCTAACCGCGGCAGACGCTTCCCTTCCTCCTCGTAAACAAACGCGGCCGCCCGTCTCCAACTCCTCCCTCTCCCCCCTTCTCCCTCGGGAAGCCCAAGCCACCTGGCATCGCGCCTGCGCTTCACCTCCGAGCCCCAGCAGAGTCCCTGGGCGTGTGAACGCGGACAGGTGGCCTGGCTCTTGGTTTCCCCGACCCTCTCCCTTCTCCCTCTCTTCTAACGCGGCCCCCGCACCGGAAAGCCATCTAGCTCCTTAGAGGCAAACTGACGACAGCGGAAGCCTAATCCCACTGTTTGGGCTGGGCTGGAGCTAGCTGTCTCTCCGCCCTGAGGGTTGCGCCCGAGAGGTGGGTCAGTCTGGACAGCTGGGCGCCGGGGCCACAGTCTCCGCTCGGCGTGCTCTGAGCCGGAGGGGACCCCGCAGCTGCCCGTCGCCGCCCGACTCGCCGGGAGAGGCCGCCAGGCGCCTGAAGAGTGCGGGCAGGTGCGGGGAGAGCGTTGCGCGGCGGCGGCGACCATGTCTGCGCGCTGCTGTGCCGGCCAGGTAAGGCGCGCGCGGACGCAGCTCTCCGGGGTTGTGTCCCGGGTGAGAGGGAGCCTTGCTAAACAGCTCCACCCTGGTTTCGTGGCAGGCAGTGTCCTTGGGAGGCTGCGCCAGCGCTTCTTTTCACCGGACAATGCCGTTCGCCCCGCGTCTTTGCGGTGGGCAGGAGATGCGCTGGCGGGTGCGCTTCTCCGGCGGAAACCTGGCTCCTCACCAGATTTTCCAGCCATTTAGGAGATCCTGGGGTCGAACTGAGGATTTAATTGAGCGCTTCGTGTGATTTCCCAGCTGCAAATTGCTTTCCCTGTCGGTTGAATGGGCGTCGGGCATCGCTTGCCGTTTTCACAGCCTTGCTCTTAGTTGTTAAACCGGAAATAAGGGCCAAGCTGGTGATTACAGCTTGACGCGGATTCAGATACTGCTTTGTTTTGCTCTGGATCAATTTGCTATATCGTTTGTAAACCTGCTTTATTACCGGCGGGGCTGTCTAAAGAATTTAGCAAAACAATCAAGAAAACTCACTAAAGAAGACCTGCTAGTATCTGTGTGTTGATAAAACAATAGTTATTGTATTATTTAGTTACAGTCCTGTCCACTGTCCGCATGCAACCCAATCCCAATTTGTCTAAATTCAGTAGTATGCATTTTTTCTAACTTTTATGTCTGTATTATATTTGCTTATCCTAAGAAAATTAACTTTTCTACTGTAGGGTGGAGTTTACAATGTTCTGCTGAACTGTGATTTATTGAATAAAAGCGTAGTTGCTTTAAATGAAGCATGACTAACAGTATTAATGCAACATGTAAACTAGGTTACTATAATAGTTTGATGAAGAAAATATAATACATAAAAGTTAGAAAAAATGCATACTACTGAATTTAGACAAATTGGGATTGGGTTGCATGCGGACAGTGGACAGGACTGTAACTAAATAATACAATAACTATTGTTTTATCAACACACAGATACTAGCAGGTCTTCTTTAGTGAGTTTTCTTGAT